TTCATTGCTCTCTGCTCTATTAAAGATTGGTAGGTCTGGTAGTCATGGACTGTTATTCATTTCCTCTCTTCTTCAGGATAAAAAAATGCAACACGGATCCATGAAGGCATGGTGGTAGCAAAAGTTTGAAAAATGACTTTTCTAAAAGATCAAGTAGCAAGTCAGTACTGACACCATCTAGGTTGTTTGCTGAATTTTCTGTCAGTGGAGGAATTTCGGCAACAGATCGGAAGCGCTTTATCAAAATTGTAGCCATGTGCCTTGCAACAGAGGTCATTTCATTTTTTGACGCTGCTTTGTGTGGATGTTTGTAAAATCATCTACCATTAGCACTATCAAATCTCTTTGCAGGATAGAGTCATTGATAAATTCAACGGTTGAATGCTGGTGGCTTTCTGCTGAGTTGCAAAGCTTGCGTTCTGTGTTGATTTAGATATTGCCATGCCACTCTTGTTAAGAACTGCTAAACCTGTTTCACTTAATCCAATTCCTACAACTTGATTCGATAGTGCCTTGCAGCTTGTTCTTTTTGTTATTGCCTTTACATCAGAATATTAATAATGGCAACACATTTTTTCTCATTAAGACTTTTTTGATTTGTGAATGGCCAACTGTTAACATAGTAGACATCAGAGTTTGACACAGGTTATTTGCCCCACACACACATACAAACATACATACATTATCTATTTTGTATAGCAGGTCAGAAGTAGTCAGCATAATGCTGATATGGACCCAGCAGCCTGGCAAATGCTCTTCATTGATTTTGAATCAAAGGAAGGCATACTGTCTGACCCAAATTTGGGAGAAATAAAACTGCGGCATTTGGCTACTTCCTATTGTAAATCAAATCTTTTCTTGGTAATGAAAATTTTGGAAGAATACTAGTCGTAATGTAAGTAAAGTCATGGCTATTTTTAATGAACCAATTCCGTCTATATATTGGAAAATAACAGAGCCTGTTGGTGCATACTCAAATAGATGTTTTGGCTCAAGACAGTTTACCTCTCCATCAATTTTCTATATCTCAAACATAGATTTCTTCTCTTCTCTGTGATTCAGGCCTGCCCAGTGAATTTATTGGTGAATTTAGTGAGATCAGTTGGTGGCTGTAAATGTGTTCACTTTTGGCTTGAAGCCGCATAATCAGTTATCAACTCCTGAAGCTAGGGCAGAATGTAAAATTAGATAAATGAATGGAAACTTCTTGAATGGATATCTTGCTAACTAGTGAAATGTAATATATTTAATAAAGGAAAGGGGGTTTGGAATCTGAAGAAATGTTTAATAAGAGGATAGGTTGGATTCAGGGGAAGTTAAGAGATGTTGGTTGTTGAGAGACAGTTTTTTTCTTAAATTTATGTCACCCACAGAGCGATGGATAGGTATTAAAATTTCTTGGCCAAACTTAATTTACCTGAAACTCGTCATGAAATTTGGTAATCATTTGAGTGGTGGTAGTTTTAATTATTCTTCGCAATCCCACAGTGGCGCCAATATAGGTTAAATAGAAACGTATGATGATCAACTACACAAAATTTGAGGCGGAAATTTGCTTTGTAGAGGCGTGCGATCAGGACCGAGAGGTGTGGTAAAAACACGCTGAAATGACAAAATGGGCCTAATTCTACCTGCGAAGTGATTTTGTTGATCGTGTGTACTGATTTGCTTGGGAGAAAATAATAGTAATAAGAGCTCTCAGCCATCAAAGATTTGACGGCTATGCTGGCTACAACAGCTCTGGTAATATGGCTGGAAAAAGTAGTGGAGCCTCTACCTTAATTCAAAAAAATCACCCCAAAGCAGTTTATGTTCACTGCCGAGCTCATGTTTTGAATCTTTGTGTTACATTTGCCTGTACTATTCATCCGGTGCACAATATGATCTCTCATGTCAAGTCTGTAAGTCAGTTTTTTAACATGAGGGGATTGCTACACTGCTGCTAAATGCCAGACACAGTCATTTTTGGATGTTTGTCGGACTCTCTGGCTTACTAGAATTGATGGACTGAATGTGTTAATCAAAGTCTTTGAGGCTGTTGTCAGTGCACTTGAAGCAATAAAGCTAAAAGTTAGTGGCAAATGGAGCACTGATTCCATAATAGATGCCTCTTTCCTTTTTTACAGGATAGTATCATTTGAGTTCATTATCTAGTTGGTAATTGTATCCTGTCTCTTGGAAGTAACAAGGTCGTTAACAAAGGGGTTACAGTCTCCACACATTGATGTTTTTTTCTATGAATGAGATTTAAGAGCTGCGTCAAGAATGGTTTGTCTAGGCAGTAGAGCTAGCTAGCTCGTCCAGCACAAAAAAGCTTCATCCCCAAAAAACCTTCTGACTCACTGTCTGAATACTACCGCCAAGTGACCTCAGTTAATTTCCTTTATCACATGACATCAAACACGTATTTCCGCACAGAACCTCACACTTTTTAATGCTAGCTCCGCTTTGCCCAACAATGTTTTGTTCACCAGAGATTGGAAAGTAAAATTCCAGGACCTCTTGTCTCTTAAAAAATTTGACCTTCCAGAGCCACAATATCTTTCTCTGGAGCTAAAGAGCTAGGAAAATAAATGGGCGATGCACAAAAGATCTATGCCCAAATTTCTAACTACTCCTTTCGAAATATCTTCACAATCTTGAAAATTGCTGCAACTACTCCGGTCACATCTTGCTATGGCAAATTCTCTATTTTGGTTTTGAGGCGGTTGAAAACCTACTCAGGGTTGCCAGATTGAAATCTATAAAAAAACCACATCAAGACCTATAAAATCCCAAAATGCAATAGATTTTCTCAAAAAATCCCGAGATTTTTTTGTGATGTTCTGATGACATCATTTACCACAGGGACGAGATTTCGACCTCTGTGCATCGACTTTTCAACTTCTGTATCTCGTGCAACATTGTAAATGCACGGATCAAAGCATTGACAGAGGAGTTAAAATTTTGCTGGACATGTTTATTTCAGTTGCAAGTCAAGAAACAAAAGGGCGCAATTTTAGACGAAAAATAGCTGTTAATCCTAAGTAAACTGATGACACTAATGATAAAAGATAAAATTTATTAAATAACATAACAATTAACAAATTTAACTGAATAAAGTTCGATATTTTTAGGGTTTTTAGCAGTTTCTATTCGAGAAGTCTATCATCAAGAACAAAGTAATTGTCTGCATTGACTCTATAAATTCCCTCTGCAATGAATTTCCATAGAATACTGCCATCCACAAGGATTAATGCATTTGTAATGGGGCTTGTCATTTTGTTGCGCACTTTGCTTTTAAGGTGGTTCATTCTGGAAAAGATTCGCTCTACTTCAGCATTTGAGTAGGGTAATGAGTATAGACTCAGTGCAAGTTGAGCCACGTTATTAAATCGGGACTCGTCAGGTGCATATTTATACTGCTTGAAATGGCTCCAAAACCTTCAATTTTCCAGAAACATCTATTAATTTGATCTGTCGCAGTTCTTATTTACAGCATCAATATCCGGCAAATATTCTTAAAGTGTTCCGCCAATTTCGTTAAATCTTGAATTTGGGTTATCTCTTTAGGAGAGATGCTTGTTGAAGCTTGAAATATGGTGGCATTTTCTGGATGTATCTGTTGAACTTCCTCTATGACGATGAACTCCAAGCATCGTTCTTTAATATCTTTCATCCTCCAATATGTTTAAGCGCTCTGCACTGCTGGTAAATGCATATCCGAAATGAATGCAGCTTACAGGCATCAAATCTTTTCTAAAGTCGTAACTGAAAAGGTCTTTTTGTGTGACCTTTTGATTCTTGCTTGCGATCACTACTCGCTGTAGCAAGGATTGGTAGAAATCGAGTAGATCTGTACCAAGACAGACAACATCCACGTTGGCAAGTTAAACAAGTTTCTTTATTCTTGAAAAATCCTTCAGAAGACCTTCAAGGAAAACCAAATAAACCACTTTTGGCAAATCGGTCCATCTTGGTTACCATACAACTTCATTGTAATTCCACCCACATTGCTCTGCACTAGCTAATGACTGGACAGGATTGAACATTTGTTCCCAAGTATTGGAAACCGATATGATCAAGGGATTTCTTGCAACTGAAAGAAAAGACTGTGTGACATTCGGAGCAATTTTCCATGTTTTCAATGCAGAAAAGGAAACTGTACCACAGCCAGTATATGCATGCAACATGGGTAATGCAAGGGCCTTTTGCTCACCTAAAAGTACAGCTAGCTTGTTGACATTGATGTATTTGAAGTATTGCCATGATCCAAATGCAATGGTCAGCTGTAGGTCCTTTACTCTTATTGCAGCAGCGACCCAAGAACTACATTATCTGTGTCAATTGTATATATGATTGCACGATTCATTCCCTGTCCTTGCTGAGCATCTTGTAGGTGTACAAAAATCCTGGTATCAGCCTCCTTGTGGTTGCATGGATTGATCAGAGATGTGTCCCGTACAGGCCAGCATAAGGCATTCTCTCCGATTGTCACCATTTCTGTCTTTCCTTCAGGTCTTAGATTCTCATGAACGAACTGCACAAGGTATGAGAAGAGTTCTGTCTTATTGTCACTGTGGCGCAGAAAATACTTCCAATCCTTGGGAAGTTGTAAAAAGCTTTTTACACATCAACGAGACCCCTGACCACTGTGAACTCTGGCTGAATTTTTTAGCGACCTCTCAAGGTAGACATCAAAGACAACATCGATTGGCAATGCATTGTTGACAGTTCTTTTAATCTAAAATAAACAGTCCTACAGGCATAATCTTTAAACATCGCTTTGGATTCTGGCTTCAACCCATTTACCTCTATTTCAGGTGATTCACAGCTGGAAATCGTGTCATCCATGTAAATACCATCAAGAAAGCCATTATAAATTAATGAAGCCACTGGGTGCTTTTCGTCATTTTTGCCTGCTCGTCTACCATTTTGTTACCATGACAACTGATATTTTGGAGTTCTTGACCAATTAGATAGAAAAGAAGGCGTACAGCACTCAAGGATTTGTAATGAAATACCATAATGAAACATAAAAATATATTTTTGATTTTTTGCAGATTTGAGGACCCAAGTGATTAGCAAAAAGTGACGCATGCGCAGCAAAATTTTGGCACTTTTTGCACATTTTGTTGAGATAGACCTCACGCATGTGTAGGCAATGCTATGCCAAGCATCAATCTCGATATAGTTAACAATTTTCTTTTTGTAATATCATATATAAATTTTGCATTTATAACGTCATGATGGCGTCAAAAATCTATTTTTAGAAGTGGCTCCAAATCCTAAATTGATCATCATAGCACCTTGTCACCAAGTTTCATATTTTTAACATTAATTGAACAGTTTTGATGCTTTTTAACAAATATCTAAACAATATCTAACTGGACAATATCTAAACATTTATCAAATATCTCTGAACAAAATACATGAAAAATCTAGACACTCTACTGTAAACTAAATGCAAGTCTATGGATAAGTAGTCGACCTATAGAAGAAAACTGTATCATATGATAATTTGAATACCAACTAAGAGTTACTAATAACAATTTACAACAACTTTATTACATATAAATCACACTGTATTCCAATGTTTTATTAGGATGGTGATTCAACATTACCGTACAAATCGGAAATAGTAATACTGTTGGGAAGGTATCATTGACTTCATGGTTGTGGTTAATAATATAAACAAAGCTTTTGAAACACGAATCAACAGTTAACCTTCCTTAACCCTTTAACTTGAAAAAAACTTAATATATGTTCAATTCTGAGAGGGGCTAGCCCTCATTTTGTAGCCATGGCTTGTCATTCTAAAGAAGGTTAACCGTGGGGCTAACTGTAGGATTAACCATTAATACAAGGGGTGAGCCGTGAATTTAGATTTTTAAAGTTTTCTTCAAGTAAAACAAGTTAACTTGAACAGTGTTCACATTGTGACAGCTCCTTTTGCTCTGCTTGGGGGTATTTGATAATTGAATGAAAATACCTCCCAACAGCAGCCATCATTTCTGTCTCTCTATCATCTACAGAGTTTTACTTGCCAACGTAGGTGGTGGGAGCTGAGCAAAATACAGAGGGGTGGACATTATTTTGCCTCAAAACTTACAGTACACATTGTAGCTAGTTACCACCGCACCCAGCTACACATTGGATACCTTCGAAAGAACCTTTGACAAGAACCTAATGTCATTTGCAGAACCTTTTACTAACGTCATTTGCTGCATTTTTAAATCGCTAGAGGCACTGATAGTCCATAGCCTCCAAGTCCATCCGTCTTTTTCACTTACTCTACTGTTACCCTGGAATGAAAATTGTCAACCAATAAAATGCTTTTCAGCAGAATTCGAATTTATTTCATATGCTGAACCTAGGTTTCTTTCCAAACAAGTAAAGGCGTTTAATTTCAATTACCAAAGAAATCCTATGAACACAAGTGACTTTGATGCGTTCATTATGCCTACAGCTGTTCATAAGAAAAAGAGAAATATTTTACTAAGAATGGAAAGCAATGAAATTGGTCTGTAGTTACAAGTTTCGGTCTTTAGACCTTTCTTAAATATTGGAATTACCTTCAGAATTTTTTGATTTTCAGGAAAATTGCAAGTTGTGAAGGACTCGTTTATTAGAGCTGAGAGATCAGAGCAATTTGGTCCAGAGGACTTGCCATTGTTTAGTAATTGTATTACATTAGATACCTCGTTAACTGTACATGAAGAAATGAAAAAAGAATCAGAGTTTGAATTTGATAAGAAAGATAAAGGAGATTTTTGAGTTCTTGGGATTTTTTTAGTGATTCCTTCAGCTACCTTTGTAAAGTATTCATTAAATTCATTTGCAATATGGACAGAATCAGATATTTTCAAGCCATTTTCATCAACTAAATATGAGAATGTATCAGTATTATTTGGTTTGAAACTATTTATATCTTTAATACCTGTCCACAACATTTTCATATTGCTTTTGTTTTCATCAAAGTACTGCTTGTAATAATTCTTCTTACTGGTAGCGAAGGATGTCTCCACAAGGAGATCATTGCACAAAGCTTGTCAAGCGAGCAATGGCATTCAAAAAAGAGTTGAGTGAAGAGATTCATAAGTTGCAAATCAAAAGCAAATCTTGGTCTTCCTATTATCCCATGCCAGAATCCCATGGACACTAGAGCCTTTGCATCTGACTGACATGAGCTAAACTGTACTTTTTTAATATGCTGCCCCCTTTAAAGAAAAAATAACAATGTAAACAAAATATGCTACATCCAAAACTTTTAAAAATAATGGTGCATAAGTAATACATTTCATATAATTTTGCACTCACACAAGCATCCATTTTTAATTGATTAATCATTTATAAGAAAAAGACTGCCATTTTATGACAGTTGTTTCATTTCAACTCACTGATACATGACTCAAAATACTTTAGCAAACATAGCTATTTTCATCCGCTCTGTTTGCCGATTCCAAACTTCTTTGCATGGAGACGTCATGGCACTGTTTTGAGAGTCTCTCTAAAAATTAATGTACTTTATTTTATTATAACAAGTGTCTATGAAACCTATTATACTATCTCTGTCTTTAGCAAATCTTATTAATTAGTACATTGCAAGTCTAAGAATATTATTTCTCTGATGTCACACTGCTGCCACATGAACCATGACCTGGTGATGTCTTGACTTAAATTTTTTGTGTTGGGAAACAGGGGGATGAATGCACCATCCTATAAGTATGAAAATAAACTATAATCAGTATCATATGTATACAAAACCAGTAAAATTAAAACATTGTGATACAAAATCTTAAACAACTTTGTGTGAAAAGATCGAGCATTCAGTAAAGTACTTTAGATTTGTTCTGTTTTAACTGCTTGAATAAGTGATGATTTGAAATGTGATTCAGTCATGTATTTTAAATAAATATTTGCTTTAATGTACAGGTGCAATTGCTATATTTCCTGATCATATGGGTAGATACCATGATGCAAAAATGAAAACAAGAAATGCAAAGCTCACCTTCCATATATACATGAAAAAGGTTGCGGTCACTATGAATTGATGTGGCACAACTTAGGCAAAAATCCTGCTTCCAGCCACAATCTTTGCAATGGCATACAGCCATGTTTAGCAGTCGTCTTCCAAAATCTTCACATGCAGCAGAAATTCTGCTGTTAGGCAGAAACTGCTGTAACACGAAAGCTTCTCACAATTTTTCTCCAGAATTTTCCCATGCAGTCTCTTCTCTTCATTTTCTGGTGCTGTAGGAAGTGGTGTGGTTTTTCTTGGGCATGTCTGTTAGCAATAATATCTGTTTCAATATCACATCCATGCAGTTCACAAGAAAGAAGTCTTTCTGGTGGTGGTTCCAGGTTAAGACGTAAATAAGGCCACTCAGCTTCCGTTTTCTTAGCACAAGTCAGAGCAAGACGATTGCATGTTAGTGAAATCTTTCTCACTTTTGAAATTCCAATGCACTTTACCAATTTGACAGAAATAGGCTCTTTGCAGCTAGGCGTCACATGCTTTGTTACCACATAGAAACGCCATACTGGAGAGCATAAGATCCAGCAGCCTATACATAAGCAATACGATCGCATGTTTTCTTCATGAATTTTCAGAGTTTAATCGCAGTTTTTCAAGATATAACAGCATAATTTACACTTTTTAAAATATAATATAGTCTTTTTAGGCTGTTTACTGCTTTTCTGGTGTTTTCCCGTTGCATTTTTTCGTCACTGAGTAATAGGTAAATCACCACAAGCTTTGATAGAAGGTTATGGAACAAACGGTAGGCCGATATTTATGTATTCTATTTCCTTCCGTTTCTCAAGTTTCGATTTAATGTATTGGTCATCTACATAGAATCCTTCTACTAATTTGCTTGCAAATTCCCTTCCTTCAATGTTTCAATATGATGATGTAAAACTGCATTTCAAATAAATGGTGAAGAATTCACACCAGAAACAACTCTGTTAAAACAATAAATTACAATTCTGGGCTGTTCTGCGGAAACATTATCAACCGTAAATAATCTCCATCAGATAGATCAATTGCGATATTCAATAATGCTTTTTCAATTTCTTCTATGTGTGCAACGTTATACTTTCTAAATCTTAAAACCAGTTCAAAAATAAGAGGTGTCATAGGTGGGCCTACATGAAGACAATTATTAAGACAATTACTTAACTTTTAAGCCTTACAAGATGCATAAAAACAATGCACACTTTTGTGGTTTTTGCATTGTCCCTTACGACTGCCTGATGTGCTAAGTAATGATAACTGCCAACATTTGTTAATGCTGATACTCTTTCTATGATACCCATGTTTCTTGGTCTCTAATAATCTTATCATATTCTAGCAAAATTAATGGATCCCTTTTTAGTTTTCTTAGTTTCCCTGAAAGCACCCAACCATGCAGTGGCTGATGTGGCCCCCTCGTTTCATCTGCCCACTTACTAATTCCCAAAGGAAATTGGTAGTTGTAAGGGGATATTTTAAAGGGGATAATCTTTAAATCTTTAAAGGGGATAAAAAACTCGAAACCTATTCCAAATGCATTCTCTACAACATGTCTTGCTCTGCTTAACCTATAGTTGTAAATTCGCTGTTCAGATGACAGTCCTTTAAAAGGATATGGCTTCATGAAATTATTTTGAAGAGCGAATGCATCATCCGCAACAATTACGAATGGTAATGCACTTCTGAGCCTGTTGGTTGTCTGGAGGCTGGTATCCCCAAAAGATTTTTGCTTAACGCTTCTGACAATGAGCTGCCACAAAAAAACTCCCCCATCACTTATTCTTCCATTACATCCATTGTTGACATACAAAAATTTTGTAGTTTACATCCACCAATGCCAACAAAACGATGCTAAAAATGCCTTTGTAATAGCGCTTTATTCGATTGACGTCACGCCTTTGAACGCATTGCGTGATGGGATCGAAGATCAGACAAACAACACGCCAATCGTACCTTCAGCCTTTATGTTTCAGTGAATACATGATTGTGAAATTTGTAAGCATTGATCCTTTCGGGTTAAATTGGCTATCAAAGATGTTATTTTGGACATGGATATCAAAGATGGAAGAGGATGTTCCTGGTCATGCTTTTCTAAAGATCCATCAGATTATTCTGTGATAGAGTTGAAACGATGGCTCGAATGTCATGGTGTAAAGCAGACGGGAAAGAAACAATATTTGATAGACAGAGTGAGGGGTGCTATTGAGACAAAGGCAGGATGATGGAAAATAGTACGATATTAAAAGATCAAGCTTACAAGTCGAAGATGCCCCAGCAAAATTCCTGGTGAAGATTGGAAAAGCTTTCCTTCCTGTGACATACCGAATATGTTTAACTATGGCCATGTTTACCACTACATAGCCGAGTCCATCTCAAAGTTTGCCATGGGAAACAACGACGAAGACAGCAACGACGAAGACAGCAACGACGAAAGCAATACTGGTTATACCGCAACTGCAAAACCGCTTAGAAAAGGTATGAATTTGATGAAAAGTGATTTCATAAGTGACATTCAAGACAAACAAATCGAGGATTCCTTATTTGTACGTGCCCATGTGCACCACTCAATGAAAAATGATGTGCCATTAAATGTTGTTATTGGCCTGTCAAGCATCAGTGGATCAGTTCAGCTTGCTAAATGCAATTGTAAAGCCTCAGCACTTGCAAGATGTAGAGCTCTGGAGAATCTTGCCTGGCTTGGGAAACAGGAATAATTTTGTACCTTCCGGCATTCTATCGGGATACCTTGAATCAGAGTCACAGGTTCCCCAGCAGCAATGTTTCGTTGCACCTTTCTTTGCCATCTCAATTATTGTGATTCGTGAATCGTGATGTTTGTCCGACTTTTGATCCCGCGATGCTTTGCGGCAAACGAAAGCGTTTGAAAGCGTATGCTGCTGCTTATGATGCTGACGATGCTTATGATGATGCTAATGATAATGATGGTGATGATGATAGCACCATTGGATTTGAAGAGGGGCAAAAAGGAAAACTTAGATCAACAATAATTCAATATCTATACTTTGTACCATAAGAATTCAATATCTTTGCAATGAGCAACGGCTCCCAAGATTTCATCATGTATAATTGACCAACCACCATACAACACTTCAAGAAGAAAGGAAATTCTCCAAGGTTTAGGTTTTTTAGCAAGAGCTTTCTTTCTATTAAACTTCAATAGGGGAAATATGGAGAGGACCAAAAATGAGACAATGATGTCAAGATAATCTAGTTATAGACCATCTGGCGAACCACAAATGCCTCAAGATAATCAGACAAGCCATTTTCAAGACTAACCCTCATTGCAGTCATAAAATCATCATAAGATTTTAATGACAACTCCATACAGTCCACCAATTTAAATCCAGCCATTGATTTTGCTTGCAACCCGTCTGGCATTTCACTTACATTTTATTGACTACTGCTTCATTTTACTTGAAAGGAGAGGCTTTAACAAACCTATAGTTGCATGAACAGATCATTGACAGAATCCTTAACTTAACGGGTTGCAGTGTGCACTACTTGAGTTTGTGTGTCAGATGATGGACGTTGGCGAGTGTGTATATTGTGAAAGTCATCTATAAATGACGTGTGACGAGTTTCTTACTTTCTCTTGCATCTTGAAAAACTTTATGAACTCTGTTTAGGTGGGTTGATTATAGTTCCTTTGTAATATTTGTTACAGTTTCAGGATGGGCTGCTAGCCCTGTTTTCCTTAATGCCTTTACCCCTCTGTCTGAGACTTCTAGACCTCCTGGGGGCCTGGCAGTGGCCACCTGAAATCAGTTTGCTTGCTGGGACTGACCATAGATAAGTGTGTAAATTATAGACATTGCTCTTGATTCGTTGATTTCTTTTCTCTTATTTGACTGGCTATTTGATTTCCATAGCATTTATGACATAGTCGAATATTTTTTCAGCACCAGCTTCTCCACATAACTTTTTGAAATTCAAAGGGTCAGACACTGGGGTTCCCCGATTGCCCAACTTTTTCATGCATAGACTTTTTAATTGTTCTACTTCTGCTTTTAGATGACACTTGCTCGAGACTTGAGAAACAAGCCTGTGAAAAACCACCTTTGGGAGCTGCACATTATCTCCATCAATGATTACGATAGAATCAATTTCCTTGCAAAATACAGTTTCTTCACCACGACCAGGACTTTCTAATTCTTGGGAGCTCTGCCAGAGCTTTTGACTTGGAGAACTTAGATTAACCGTAATTTCTGAAACATGTGATGACTTTGAATCTTTTACATTATGGTGTGGCTTGTGAGGGAACCTTTGACATACAAACCTGAAAGTTCGCCATCCTCGCTCACCCTGAATCGGTGCATTTAGCTGTTTAAAAATTCTTCATTTGTCCTTGTTTCATTCAGCTTGTCTTCAAGCTTGTACGTCAATCTCGAAATTGCAAGGGGTACTTCAAAGGGCATCAGCATATCCGCTTCAAAAAGGAGAGAAATTGGAAACAGGTACAGATTCACATAGCTTAGAAACTGGTAAGACCTTAACTTATTCAAGAGGTCAGAAAACTTGCTCCTGCCGTTTGCTGTGTGGAACTTCGTAACAGCGAGGATATTCTCATATGCCAAAATGTATGCGGGCCATGTTTCCACGAGAGACCTTGAAACCACGTCTTTGATTGCCAATGAACCGGGTCCCATGGATTTTTGGCGAAACATGAAAGTCTATACCTAGCCCTTTAGCACATTCGCCCACTTTTCCTTTTATTTTACTAGAGTTTTTACTAAGAGAAAAGTTAGTCTTGTAAAAATCTTCAAAATCCTTAAATGCAGGTATATCAAATGCAGATTTTACGGCAAGCTCAATGCAGTGGTTTGCACAGTGCATGGTGAGAAGCCATGGTCGTTCGTTTCGCATTTGTGTAAGAACTCCCAAATATTTCCCGATATTCACACTGGCACCATCAGCTGTGCATTTCATATACTGCTCTTCTTGTGTTGCAAATTTTGAAGGTTTTTTGAATTAACTGTCAAGTGCTTCCTTGATATCATCTGCATTGCTCCCCCCGAACTCCTGTATTCCGAGCGGACTAAGCACCATATACGTAGGAATACCATTCCTTTCGCATCTTATAAGAATAAGTTCCTTTTCTTCAGCTTGGCTACGGTTTTTCGAGCTTGGCTTCTGTAGCTGAGTAACGACATAAGCTGTGTACTCCCGAGAACTACTGCGCATCTCTCTTAAACAACCTCTGCGATACAGTAGACGAATTCCCTACTGGTTCTACCATCTTCTTTTCTCTCAATAAGCCGCACATTATTTTCTTTAAGGCATTTGACCAACAGGTCAAAGTATTTGTGAGGCATCGTGGGCTGGAGACCCATTTCATAGGCACATCGCATTAGCTTTGTGTAGGCATGTCTCGTAGCTTTTTCAAATGATGAGAGTATCATTTGTCTGAATCAGTTGAAAGTAAAACAGTGATGTTAGAACAATCTATGCCTGTTTTCATCGTCAAGATGTGATCATCATCATTATCTCTTCCTCGTCATCATGAAACCTTGTTAAAAATGGGTCACGCAAGTTGTTTTTAATTTGGAAAGTTTCTAGGGAAATTTTCGAATTTCCAAGTTTCTTTAGAACACAGAAACCGTGAAAGTAGTTGTTTTAGATTGGTAGGCTACTCACCCCTAAACCACTGCGGGGCTCAATGTCAACTCGTTCAACCTCTGGCTTTGACTTTTCTATGCTCAGGGCGATTCAGTGACCCTCTCCTTTGTCTGCAAACTTTATTTTTGGTGACGTAGTTTGTGCCATTGATTTACGCAAGGATGGATTTTTCAACAGTGCCCTTACAGTTGGGGTTGGTTAAGAATGCATCTTTGTTTTGTGCACATACCTTAAGGGCCAATGAATTGCCTGATCACCTGATCGCCAGCGAACCATCAAATTGATGCATTTCGCGCCGTAGATTTTTAGCCATCAAAATCTGCCAAAGAAATTTTAATAGCCGTTGAGTCTTGTTGGCCGGTCATTGATGAAGAATTGTAGAAATAGGGAACCAGCTAGTCCAGAAGAAAGATTATCTGTTACCCTACGTCATCTAGCCACCAGCGATTCACATTCTACCATTGCCATGAGTTATCGTATGAGTCCTACAACTGTTGGACGAATAATTATGGAAACATGTAAAACGATTTGGTCGATTCTTCTGAAGAGTGGCTTACTCAAGGCCCCAAGCATTCAACAAGAGTGGAAAGAAATGGCAGAGAAGTATGAAGCTAAATGGAACTTTCCTAATTGTGTAGGTGCAATTGATGGCAAACGTGGTGATGCAAGCCCCACCACGTTCTGGTTCCACGTTTTTTAACTATAAGGGCACTCACAGTATTGTCTTCATGGCTGTTGTTAACAGCGACTATGAATTTACCATGGTAGACATTGGTGAAGCAGGAAGGCAGAGTGATCGTGGAGTTTTTGCTAATGGGCATTAAGGATATATCATGAATAATGATTTGTTGGGGCTGCCTGCACCAAGACCAATATTCCCAAGCTCAAATAAGCACTTCCCATATGTGTTTACAGGAGATAAAGCATTCCCATTGAAAACCTATCTTGTGAAACGTTACCCACGATCATCTATTGGCATCAAGGCGCGTGTGGTCAACTACAGAATCAGCAGAGCCAGGAGAGTTGTTGAGAATGCGTTTGGGATTGCTGCTTTAGGTTTTCGGATATTTCGAAGGCCAATCATAGCTAAGACAGAACTTGTGTAGAGATCACAAAAGCTACCGTTATGCTGCATAATTTCCTCATTCACAGCAGAAACGATGAAAGTGGAACCAAGTATTTCCCTGCAGGCTATGCTGACGATGACACAGCAAAATCTGTCAGACCAGGTGGATGGAGAGCTGAGGAAGACAGCCTGGGCTACATTGTTTATTTTTCTAATGCAGGTTTTATAAATGGCAGCCTGACAATGGCTTGTTTGATATCAATCAAATTGGGTCAACAAATTCAAGTAAGGATGCTAAACAAGTAAGGGATGACTTCAAAGACTATTTTTTTCGAAAGATGGTTCTCTGGCATGGCAGCTTGAAAAAGTAGACAGCACACAAAATTATTTTGACAAACAGTAAGAGAATATAAATCAGTAGAAACATATCAAGTTTATCCATATACACACATTTTTCACAAAAAGCTGAGCTCCAAAGCTGTACTCAAAATATTCCGAGTTTCTTTAAGTCTGAAGGGTTACAACATGCATTTTAAATAAAGGTAAATGTGCAAATTCTAAGAGAGAAAGATAGAAAATTTCAGTGATGGCTCTTTTTAGCTAATCACTTCACTTCAGATGACATTTAAATTTTCTTAAAAATGTTTTTTGTAATTTTCTCGAAAACAATCTTTCTAAAACCCATAATTCCCATCAGTCATTTGATCTCTTTCTTCATGACATATTATTCAGATATACGCAAACTTCTTATTTTGATATAAAATTTGAGGCTGGAGATTTTCTGAACTTCATCTTAGCATTTTGGCATATTCAGGGTAATTTTCTTATGAAATGAGTTACTAAAAAGTATATCGATATTTCTATTTTTTGGTAGTTTTTTAAGATGGATGGTAATAAGTATTACAGTTTTTAATAGAAATGTGTGCATATATGTTAATAAAACCTAATCTTCACTAAATTCAATGTCAAATAAAAGTTTTTGAATCTCGATTTTAGTTTTTCTGTTCTGTCTGCAATATTTTCTTGTGAATTATGATTGTTAAGATATTGTGAATTAGGGCAATCCAAAGAACTTATTGATGGTTGATCATTGTAAGTCTCTTGCCTTTCCCTCGATGCAAAAGTTCTCTTTCTTTTCATTCGTGCTGTTTCTGCAACACTGTGCATAGGCTCTGGAGTGGAGCATGTGTTCCCACACTGGGTACTTGAGGATTTATCATCAGTAAATTCAAGTTCACCAGTTTTTTTTCCAGTGAAGGTTGTGGGATTGAAAGGTTGCTATGTGTAACCCTGTTTGAAACCTTATCTTTCAAAAATTGAAGTTCTTTAAAAAATTTGCACAAGGCAACTCAGTTGCACCTACAACAGGTCTGCTTAATAGCTCTCTTTTCTTTACACATTTGGAAAAGTTGTCCCGTAGGTTCTTCCAAATCCAAATCCTTTTTCAGTACATTCTCTATGAGAGAAACATAAAATGTAAATCTACTGCTGGTAATTGCAACCCAAAAAACAAGTTCATAAACCCACAATGTTCAAATTTTACCTTGTGATTGGCATGAGCCTAAACCCATCATAGACTTCAAAGTCATGGTCCCACCAAAAATTTCAATAATTTAAGAAACTCTTAAAGGTCTAAGGCTCACAAGAAAAACTAAGGAACTGTTAAATTTCTACTTTGGAAAAGAGAGTGTTGTCTTCTTTAAACAGTGTTTGAAAGCTTTCTTATCCATGTCTTCGATTTTTGTTTGGAATATGTTTTAGCATTTGATACTGATCAGCATCTGCTTGTTTCGCAAAAACAGTTAAGGCTATTTAAGGATCCAATGGAAGAAAGACGATGGAAAGCAGGCTCACCATCTTGCTTTAGCTTCATGGCAATCTCCTTCCAAGCCTGTTGTTTCTTTGGATGTTCCTTGAGCGCTCTACATGATACATCCCAGACACACCGATAATCTTTCATTATTTTAATCAAATCGCCTTCTAGGCTCCGTCTAGACTCAAAAATTCTTTCATTTTGAGCTTCGCTTTCACGAAGGGTCACTTGTGTGAGATGGCCTAAGATGTCTGTGGCTGGCGGCGAAGAATTTCCAGAACCAATTTCCGAGCTTTCATGTTGTGAATGCTCATCAACTTCATTCGAAATGCTAAAATTAAGTCCAGAGAAAGCAATCCCGAGCCAACATCTGTGCTCTCACAGGTTTATAATTGAAGTGCACCATTTTGAATTTTGGTTGATGAAGTCCTGGCAAGTGAATATTCGCTGGCGATCGCTGAGAAGTTGAACAGAACTTAACTACTGAGCAAACCGCAGCGACCAGTCGTAAGGTGTGAAAATATTTAATGCGCATGAGCACTATTCGCTGGTCGCTGGCTTTTGAGAGATTCCCTCTAATGGATATTCTGCCTTTACACCGAACAAAATTTACAAGCTCGCGACTGCCCACTTTCTCTACTTTATAACCAATCACATTATCTTTTCCCCACTTTTTGAACGTACACAAATCAACTTTACTTCCTTTATTCGCCATTGAGTCGAATGTTTTTTCAACAACTGATTATTTCATTTTTAATCTAATATTCTCAGGTATTATTTCAATTGATGAAGGTATAACTATTGTTGCAAAGAACAAGCACTTCTAACCCTCTAAGTGTGTTTCAATTGAATCATATAATTCATGCATTTTAAGAACATTCCTTTCATTAAATACTACTGGGGCATTGATAAGATTCTTCATTTGCATCTTTTCAATCAAAGATGATTTTGCAAATCAATGTTTCAATAAATCTAATGCAGCTTGAAAATGTTTTTCTGTCAACTCGAATCTTGAAATAATTTGTTTCCCTGAATCTTCAAGATAATACCTTTAATTGGCAACTTTAGAGGCTACAGAAAGTTCTAAATTTCCATGTACTGCAGTGAAAACCCCATTCCAAAACTTTTCAGCTCTAGTTTTGGCAGTTTGGCTTTTACTTTATGGAATGACGATGAGCTACTTGAACTGTCTATAGAAATTTGAGAACCGCTTCGTCCTAATTTTGGAGTTGATGTTCATAAAAGGGTTTCAAATAGTCCTTAATGGTAATAATTGCCAAATTTACCTTTTCTTTGAAGCTTCTGCATTTCTCTATGTTCCTGGTTAACTCGTCCTTGGCTTCGTCATCATCTCTTGCCTTGCTGACCATTGAATTGAGGATTTTCTCATCAAGTGGTTTCAGAGCCTCTAAATGTTCTTTTGGTTGAGCTCTTGCTGGCAGCCTCGACCAAAACTCCTGTGGCCTCCGCAGGTTCTCTTCAACTTTGGCAGTTCATCCATGGCATCTGTTTACTTCAAAATCCTTGCTCGATGGAACAGTTGGCGAGACTATTGCTAATTCCCCAGTTGCTTATTCTTAGGATTTGTTGCAGTATCTAAAGATGAACGTTGAAGAAAAACAAGATCAATTTGCTCTGCTATCTTGTTATTTGGTATTAACCTTCGTGTTAACACTTTAGGAAGGGAGGAGCCTTAAAAGAAAGAGGGGGTTGAGGCTCCCCCTTCCTAGCAATAGTCACAAAAGTGCGAATATAATTCGCACAGGAGTGCAAGTAATTTTCTTATCACAGGACCTCTCCTCATTTTAGAATCGAGGTTTATCACAATGTTGTCTTTCCAAGGCTAATCATAATATTCAACCGTAAGGCATTTGGCTGCCAGCGTAGCGGGTGTGGTAGGGGACTAGTCTTCTGTTCGTTGACAAGTACTTTTGCAAGCATGAGCTTCAAATCTTTGATTGGTTTATACAGCAGACACACCCCGAGTTATGACGAATCAGATAACGAAAAACTGTAAACAAACGCATACGAAGGCCACTTTTATTTATTTTAGCGCTACCCACTAAAATTGCCCAGTGTAAAATCTGTTACAATAGATTTCAAAGATTTTAACTGAATCTGGCCACAGAATAGAAATAAGGCAGAAGGGACAGTCACATCGGCACCTTTGTTGTTGTCTTTTGCGGTTCCGAGGTAACGATCAGAATGGCGCTGGAAAGAAAACAGCGCGCGTAGAAGCTTCGAGTTTTTAAAGTTAGAAATTGAGTTGGTAAATGGCGTGGAATCATTCAGAAAGCACAACATATGTCATTTATGGTTAAATTTTGATGATTTTTTAAATTTTAGCGAATTCTAGCTTAATTGTGTTATACAGTTCATGCTCCGTCTGATGCGATGAAATATAACGATAACATCAAGAAAGGAACAACACAAACAGCGAGGAGCATAAATTATAAAGAAGGATGATGACCCTTGAAGCGAAAATGTTATTTAGCTTTGCAAAAATGATTAAATTTTGTACAATATTTCACTCCACACACACCTTATACTAAAATTGATGAGCTATCATCTAGATATGGTTGGCATTAATCATTAACAAACAAGGTATCTTGCTGTAAAAAGAGGGGGCATGGCCCTTTCTTTGGCTCAGCCCCTGGTGGATATAGGCAAGGAATTTCCCAGTTTCACCCAATGTCAGGGCTCATCAGTACAGCTAGAACAAACACTAGTAACATTTATGATTTCATAATGTTGATGTGTGTCAAATGTAGACCAGAAACTTGTGGTTAGTGAATTTTTTAAATCTTGTAATTGGTACAAGATAATAATAGGTTTTACTTACAGTTACAGGAAACAATTTAAGAAGCAAATGGGCCATGGATGATTTTCTTCACCGTTACCCTGGCTTGGGAGGCTGAAGAGGTAGTTTGCACTTGCCCACAGTACAACCCCAAGGCTAGCAGAGGAAAGGAGGCACCTCAGGTCTCCTTTGTTAGATTCATTGCCCTAACCTGCATACCCGCAAGATAACTGATAAAAGAAAATATAATATTGCATAGGATCATGCTGTTAATAATTCAAATAATGTAATGCTTTGTGAAGATGCAAAGAAGTTCTGATCTACAGATGGACTATTTTTAAATATTTTCTATTTTATCCTTTTTGATGACTTTAACTCTCTGTTTGCAAATTTTGAGCAATAATATATACGCATTCTAATATATACGCACATAAGAAAATATTTTTTTGCAAATGAAGCACATGGTTGTTGAATAATGACTCTATCCAGGATGTCTAGAAGCTCATTTCCAACTCCTCTTGTCTTTTTGGCTGGAAAAGTAGCCTACAAATTGATCTTCCAATTCAACAACGTACTGGAGCATACTTTAAGAGGGCACTATCAGTCCTTCATGAGTAGAGGAATTTGCATCATAAGATTTAAAATGCAAAACAATATGTCTGATGTTTTTAGTGGTATCATTCACCACAGCCTTTTCACAGGTATCACATTTATGTTTATTAAAGGTTTTCCTCAGAAAGTAGCCTGCCACATAGGCGATAGCATTTTCACTTATGATATGGCTCTGAATATTTTCTGTCCTATAGTCTGGTGATATTAATTGCAATGCCTTAGACTGTAAGTTTGTTAGAGGCTCATCTTTGTCTTCTTCACAATTGCCACTGGCAACATGTAGCAAATTTGAGTGAAAAAGATTCTTGTACTGGACAGAGGTAGGATTATCATTGTTACCATCTTGCTGTCTTATAGAGCCAAAGAAGTTTTCAAGAGGATCTTGATTTAGTTGCCTCGTAACTAAAAAAGATGCAATACCTTCATGGTATAATTTTTTCCACAGGGACAAAATAGCCTTTAAAGAGACTTTACAACCAGTCAAACACTTCAAATTGTCTGTTTGATCTTCACCTGTGGCTCTGTTAAAAATTTTAAGGATGAGAAGAACCTTATTCCTTTTTTTAGCTCTGACAGATGTGGAGGTGGGAGATTCAAGGGCTCTGAAAAACCAGTTTCAGATGCAAATCTAGAGACCATTCGAGTAAAAGTTCTTTTGGAAGGTAAATGGAGCAATTCAGCAAGAAATCTATATGATTTCCCACTGATATGGTACAAATTGAGTGTCCATGCTTTAAAAGCAGCATCATATCTACAACCTTTTGGTTTCCGAGAGGACAATTTGATTTCACATTTTAGAAAATTATGAAGTAATTTTGATATTCAATAACTCCATCTAGTAATTCTAAGGCCTTCATTGCACGCTTCTTGTTTTTCTTGAGGGGGGAGGATGAACGGAGATTCTTTCCAAATGACAGTGGCTATTTTGTTGATAAAATGAATCTTTGATAAAATGGCTATTTTGTTGCGTCTTTTCTTCAAAACTTCAATCTGTCCCTAGCCAAATTTGATTCCTGGGTAGGTGGGTTGGGGGTTTTAATTTTAGTTTCAGTTTCATTGTCGTTTCTGAAATACTTTTTTCTGAAACTGGCTACTTTCTGAAATATTGGATATCGTTTCCAATTTTTGAAAAACTGGTAGAAAATTTGGTGTCTTGATTTCATATGATATGTTTCCTTGGCTTTTCTCTGATAAAAGGGCTATTTTGTTGCGTTTTTTCTTCAAAAGGGATCTGAGTTTTCTTTTCCTTGGGGTGTTTATAGTAAGTTGGGCAGGGGTTTGGGAGAACTGACAATATTTGTTATTTTCTCCATTTGTTGATGAAGGCATATTTTAATGTTTGACTGGTTGCATTGGCTTTACGGGGGCTCTTTTACTTCCAGCTATTGGCAGGGGATTCGGGACATCAAAAAGGGTGGGGAATGCATTTTTGGATAATAGGGACCATGTGCAAAAATTTGGCAAAAATTCTGTTTCAAAATGTTTGGAACAAATGTAGCAATTTTTGTTTAAGTAGGCCATTGACTTCTTTAGCAGATCCTGTCTGCTGCTATTTTGTACCCTTTTTCTGCATCTATAAAGTAAAATAGATCTTTTAATCAATAAATTTGAATAAATTTTTTTAAAAAGTTTGATTGTTTTACGTTGAAACAAGAAGATCCTGTTGAAGCGAATTAAATTTAGGCCTACTCACGGGCTTTCGTCCTATGGGAAACAGTAGAACTGAAGATTGGGGCATGACTTTCTTTTGTTATTGCAGTTAACAGCAGCGCAGTAAGCACCTGTCCCACTACGTTTAACATCTTTGACAAGTTTCGTCTGATAGGCCAGCATTTTTATCGATTGCGAAGTTCCAGAAAAAGGAAAGTTTACTACTTGCGTCAATATTTTCCAGGAATGTTCCACCTCTAACCTCCTTTTCAATGATGCATGCGCAAGAAAATCCATGACCACTGCAAAAGCTCGTAGTGACCCTTCTGCCTTATTTCTATTCTGTGATCGTGCTCATAAGACGTAAGAGAAAATTTTTGTTGTGAACTTTCTCTATATTCTAAATACTCTTTGAATGAGAGCATCCTAAAGATGACGATTTTTACACTATACACTGCAAACATTTATCCTAAAATACTCCTAAGGTGAACGAAAAAGTTGGGAATTGAAATAAAATACTTGAAAACATTTATGCAATAAATCTACGCAAACGTCATTTGAAAGTCGCTTTTCTCGATTGATCAGCTTGGTTTTTTCATTAACTAGTCAAAATTTTATGGTTTTATTACTTTAAAACTGCTGCTATACAGACAGAGTAAATCTTTTCAACAGAATCATTGATTAAAAATAACATTCCCTTTGTCATTCATTCACCATTCTACACCGACTTTCTGCCACAATGTAACTCTTTCGATGAAAACTTTTAATAATTTTATGGTTTTTAAATCAAGATGTTAAAATTTTGTTACAGAGAAAGCTTTGACCACAGATCACTGTGTTCATTTCATGAAACAATTGCATACACTCAGCAAGCTACATGGCTTAGACAAAGAGACTAGTATGAGAGCAAACCTGAATGGTTCTTTTCCACTGTCTTCATCCCAATCCAATAGGCTGATCCATATCTGGAATATTTTTTCTGTCGCATGCAAAATACTATGGCAACATAGCCCTGAAGGCTGACAAATGAAGGTTCCAGTCAACTAACCTTGTAGCTCTGATAAACTGTAACAAGATCCCTGTTTTGATAAGAAATTTAGCAGTTTTAATTATACACAACTAATATCAAGGTTTTGAGATTAAAATTAACACCAATAAACTCTATGGAACATTGAAATATATCACAAATCACACATGATGAATATAATCAGCAAACCACAGTTTGTTGAAATCTCACACATACCCTTCAGCCTGATGTACATACTCCAGAAAGCAAACAATCTTGATTTTGATGATGAGGCCATTACAAAGCTGTTGAACTTATCACAAAGCTCTTGAAAAACAGGACATTTGACATAATGATTGAGTGGGTCGTCAAAAAAGGCTCCGACATGCATGAGATAAAATCAACTGTGTTGACTCTTTGACTTTATCAAATCTTTCTAGGAATGCTTCAACTTTACCCATTACTAGATCCTTTGCTGATGATCCCAGACTCAATGGAAATATCCGTCCAAATGAATTGTACTTGTTTATATTACAAGTCAATTGTTTGCTGCATATTAAATTGAAATTGCTTCACCTTCCCTTCAAGAAGAAACTGTTGTATGGCAGTAGCCACTTTCAGAGACTTTCAGAGTACTGCCTACATAATGGCTGATTAATTTACTGAAAGAATACTTACATTGAGACTTGCATCTTCATAAACCTTGGATATTTCAGAGAAATACGACAGATATGCATGGAACTTGCCAAGTCTCACTACAAAACGATCATAACACTCTTTCTCTTTCCACCTAAGTTCCTGCACAACACCTTAATCAAAGACTAAAACTGCATACTGCAGTTGCATCTTGATTCCTCAGGTATGTTGTTATGGCACAACATTGTTTTGAAACCACTCCATCCTGGCAACAAAACTCCATCTTTTGCTACATACAAAAGCAAAATCGATTTGTTTTGCATTTTCACTTGATGTGTTGAGCTTTTCATTAAGGGCAACTTCATGAAACTTCGGTGTTTCTGGCTCCAATAGCATCTATGTAAGTCATGTTTTCAGATCATTGTGATTTTGCTATTTGCACCTATCCTGTGCGCTTCTTCAGATACTTTTGTATTATGATACCATTTGTAACATGGGTCTGCTTCACTACCTCTTCCTAACATAAACAAAAGCAACAAACTCAATAGCAAACTCAATAGCACACATACTATTGTAGATAAAGAATGGTTGAGGTCATTGTCTTTCACAACAGCCCTAAATCATTTATGAGTGTTATTAACCCTGAACAGCCAGAATTTTGTCTCAAAGCAGTAGCTTTGGGGTCTGGTATTTTCCCCTGCTGCCATTAAAGATTGAACCTTGGCAAACTGAAAACAGTTTTGGAGAAACCTTCTCATCAACATCAACAAATGTGGCTTCTTCTGGATCTGTTGAAAAACCTACCATCCATGCAAGATAATTGAACAAAAGATGTAGCACAACTTTCCACACCCTATTGCAAGACATGTCAGAAGAAAGAGGGGGCCACTGATCATACCATTTTGTAGGTGTGTTTATGACACTTTCTCTTAATGAAAGGGCCACAGAATATATTTCTCTTAAGCTTGAACTCTTAACACAAAACCTGGGTTTAGAACTTCAAAACCACTTTCTTCCTCACTGTTGTCATCTGACTCTGTCATTGTTATTTCAGTTTTCTCAAGGTAGGTCTCAGCAACACTACTTTTACTTATATCCTCAACATATACTATCTCACTTTTGTTCCTTTTCTTTGGTGTGTCAAATATCAGCTGCAGAAACATTTCAATTAGCCTTTCTTTTAAACGAAATATCCAATAACTTGAAGCATCACAACCTTCTACCTGCTTGACAGTCTGAACAAATTTTTCTTTGATTGCTGCCATGTAATAGTTTTTTCTTTCTCTATTATTTTAGGTCTAATAAACTTCTCACATAATATATCAAAGGACTTTGCATACAATCTTGAACCATATTGCAAAATATTTTGATATGGTGTAGCTGTTTCATGTCGTAAAAATTAGGTATAGATGGAGAAGCAACACCTGTGATTCTTGAATTCAAGGGCAACACAATCTTTGTCCTCAATGTGTATTTGATTGCTGCCATGTAATAGTTTTTTCTTTCTCTATTATTTTAGGTCTAATAAACTTCTCACATAATATATCAAAGGACTTTGCATACAATCTTGAACCATATTGCAAAATATTTTGATATGGTGTAGCTGTTTCATGTCGTAAAAATGAGGTATAGATGGAGAAGCAACACCTGTGATTCTTGAATTCAAGGGCAACACAATCTTTGTCCTCAATGTGTATTTGATTGCTGCCATGTAATAGTTTTTTCTTTCTCTATTATTTTAGGTCTAATAAACTTCTCACATAATAAATCAAAGGACTTTGCATACAATCTTGAACCATATTGCAAAATATTTTGATATGGTGTAGCTGTTTCATGTCGTAAAAATGAGGTATAGATGGAGAAGCAACACCTGTGATTCTTGAATTCAAGGGCAACACAATCTTTGTCCTCAATGTGTATCAGAATCTTTTGGTCATTTTTTCTTTTAGCAGCTTCTCTCAACTTTCCCCCATCTAGGGCTTCTGCAGAGACAAGTTTATCCAATTTCCGAGTTTTCGTTTTCTGAGAAAAAAAGTTTAGTCTTACATGTAACTGATTTTTGACTCCAATTGAACATAAATTTGGAATAGCTAAATGACAGATTTTTAATTTCGAAAACTTTAAAACCCCTCTTCAATGAAGAGGCCAAAAATTTCTTAATGGACAGGTATTATCGCCCAATTTTTGATAGACCGAAAAAGAGTAGAAAAGTTTCTCAAAAAGTTGGATTTAGCTAAAGCTTTCTTGAATCATAATTGAGAAAAAATAAAAACTGTATTGAGAAACGAAAAAATTTAAAAATTAAAGACAAACCAGGTCAGTGTAGTAAAATTTTTCTTGCTTGCAGATGATACAATATGGAGCGATAACATGCTTTTTCTTTGGATTTGCAAAGGAACAGGAATTCTTCTACGATTTTAAAAGCATTGTTTTTGTTTGTCCGTCACTATCAGCTGCACCAGCAGTAGAAGACTGGTTCTTTCGTGCAATAGAAGACTGGTTCGATGCTTCTTTTTCCTTTTTGTCAGACTTCAGCATGTTTAATAAAGGTTTTCTTTGTACATTTGGAATATCAGTTCCTATGGTAGTAAAAGGTTTCAGAGATACTCCTAGGTTCACTAATTCCTTTAACGTCAAGGTTTTGATTGCAACCTTGTTGTGCCAAACAGGTAAAGTGCGGGAGTGGTAAACTTGGAGGCTGAATTTCAAGAGAATTGCAGGTTTTTACAATTGATTGGTAATCAGCACGAAAAAACACGCAGGAAAATGCTGGCAGCAAGACCAAATAAAAATCTGACACAGCTAAGGCCTAATCCTCTTGTTTTTTGCAAGGGCACATTAGCCAGTTTTTTAATGGAAATATCTTGTCACCAGCATCTCTCAATCATTTCACACAAGAGGATCAAAGCAGCATCGTGATTATCATCATTATCATTAGAAGATGATGCAGACATATTTGACACACATTTTCGATTTGAAATTATTACATTCTCAAGAAAGAAGCATTATTTTAAATATGGCCACTTGGGAACGTGGATGTCAGCTGCACCACTTTGTGTTCCTGTTCTTCTTTTTGTTCTTTTTTTCATGGAATGAAGTAGGAAGACTTTGTATTTTGCTTTTAAAATAAAGTATAAAAAACCTGTTATGAGGAAATTTTTGACACAGTTCATAAAGATTTAGGCATATGAGATAGTAACATCTGGTCGAATTTTGCAGCCAAAAATTTGAAGACAGTCCTACTGCAATTTTCCTATGGTACACAGTGTAAGAATGGTAATGAGATCTTATTCCCAGTATTTCTAGTTCCATTCGATTGATTATTCCAAGTATTCAAATTCAAGTCCCATTTGATTGATTTCAACCTGAGTGTATTGATTATTAACTTTAGGCACATCCCACGTTATCCCTTATGACCCTCACACAGGACTTTAGGTGCACCTTTAGAGGCTGGCAAAATAGTCCCTAGGATTTCTCCTTTTAAAGTGTATTTCACCTTAATTGCAAACTTTGCGACCCCTTACTATACTTGATGCGCTGTTTACGAAAATCGAATTGATAATTTGCTATTTCCTTTCATTTTCCTGTTATATGCACGCAAAAGTGGCATTTTGCCCTGTCTGGGGAGCACCAAACTGCGCCAAAAAGGGGACTGGATCATAGTATTTTTAGAACATAGAAACCAGAACCAAAGTAAAACGAGAATATTCAATGGTATATTTAGAGATGTGGAGGGACATAATACGCATAAAAGGATTGTCAATGCAGTTGATGCAATTTATTCATTCATCAATTTGCTTTCTTTGCAATCAGCCTTCAATATTTTCCTCCCTCCGCTTATTACCTATCAGCTTATTTTTATGTGATACTACTACACATACGTCAGACCTGACCTACCCTGATCTGAGTCATATGATGTCGAATCTGTCCTCACACAGCCAGAAATCATCCGGAATGAATTTACTTTAGTTCCTAAAAACGGACATTGTAGAAGACAAAGTCCTAGACAGGTCTAAATAAGCAAGTGAAAATGCCAGAACGCTGCGTTGTGTTTTGCTGTAGCAATGTTAAGGATACTGAAAAAGGCATATCATTGCATAGGATGAAAGATATAATTTTTTGGCGATGAAAGACAAGAAGCGAAGAGAAGGAGAAAAGTATGGGTTCAATTCTTTTCGAGGAAGCGTGCAAACTGGGAATCGTCAAAGTCCTCTGTAATTTGTTAGCAACACTTCGTACCGGAGGATTTTGAGAAAAGGTTTTTAAGCCTTACAGGGTTTGCAGACTCTCTCAAAGTCAGACTTAAAAAAGATGATTTTGGAATCTCTGTGTTTTTTAGACGCATCCTTGTCACAGTGCACTTTAATGAAAATTTGCAAAGAGATGTAAAAAAGCTCGAGGATGGGTCCACATGTGTCAAAGTTAGCTATCCCAAATTCAAAAATGGAGAAGCAACTGTACGTGATGTTCTTATTTCAGCAAACTTTGGTATGTGGATTTCTCCATGCTTCTAGAACCTTTTTCAGATAAAATGGGGTTTATGGGTTTAAAAAAAATCTTCCATATAACTTTTCACAACAAGGATGGTTATGTCATGTTCTTAAAGAACACTTAAAGAGTCCGTTTGTCATGTGAAAGAAATTTCATTTTTTGCCCTTTGTTGCAGACTATATCGATGAGATCTTCACAAGAATGCAACATGTGATTGAAAATGAACAACTTCCTGAGACGCATAAAAACTATAAAGAAGCAGAACCTCAAGCAATGAGTAGTGCCCTACCCAGAGAAGATCGCCAAATGGCTATTGATAAGTTCTTGAAGCGCTCATTGATGTCTGTTGATGTTGTGTCAGCTACATGTTCAAACCCCGAGCAACAAGTAACAAGTTGCAGTCAAAGAAATACACCACACTGCTTAGTTTGTAGGCAGCCTATGAAAGGTCACCAATATGTAGCATGCCCTAAAAATTCGAAAGATAAGATGTTGAAATATTCAAAAGTGTTTTACTCACAGTTGGAAACTACTCAAAAGTATCCCATAAAGAAGAAATGGAAAAGCCTCCAAAATGTAGCTCAAAAAATTAGAAAAACTGTCCCAATACCATTCAAATTATTGCAGTTTGCAAAGGATGTCTATTGGGGGCAAAGAGGTTTCCCAGTATCTTGTTCAAGCATGAAATTCAAAACCTTAAAAACTTTTCTGTCAATCATCATTGTCATCAAAACCACAAAATTCTTCATCAGTTTTAAACTTGGTTCGTATTGTATGGTATGCACAAGCTGGTAATGGAATTCTTTTGTTGCCAAGTAATCCATATACCAGCCTGGTAAACTGCCCATAAGCAATGGCCGGCAAGAATCTAAAGAAAAAAAAATTCAAACAATTAAAATAAATCTTGATGGCTAAGTATTGAGAAACTATATGTCCCCCATGCACCAAACTAGTTAGGCAGACAGGAACGTCCTCCTTTAGATATCAGTATTTTGCTCTTAATAGACAAGATTTATGATGGAAATGAATTAATTTGAGCTTTAACTTTCATTTCTTATGGGATTTTATGTTGGGCTACAACAGTTAATGATTTCACAGATTTACATCTTACATTTTTTTCATTTCTATTAGGATATAATTTTATAGAATAAAATTATTGTAGTTTCGCTTTGTTTTGCTTGCTTTGCTAACCCCCATGAATTTTGCTGAAATATAGATCGTGTAGGATCCTAATATTAATATCATCAAAAAATTCACTTACGCCTCTTCTGTCTTTATTTTTTAATATGTTCGCTTGTCTTTCCGTTTAAACCTTTGGCCTGCCAATCCTAAAACCCATGCTTGGAGGCAACATGGTTCAAAGCCTGGATGGGATGTGATGCAGCCTTTTCTCCCCATCTCTCATTCATGTCTAACGGGTCATTCAATGCAGTGATGCATCCTTCCATCTCCTTGCATTCATCAGCATTGCTACATTGCAACTTCCAAATATGCACCTTCAAAGCATTTATTAAATTGGGCTATGTTAGTATCGATGTAGAGTGCAATATGTGATACATATAGTAATTTCAAGATTGGCCTATCTAGGCAGTCAACACTTACACTCACATTTGAAAAGTATTACGCCACCCGAAATTCAAATAGCTATAGCAATTTAAATAAATGTTTTGAGATTACTGTTTGGGTAGAATATAATGGAAAATGGAAAATTGTATGATTTATTAAGGCAAACTCGGAGATGCTCACTTTTTGCTTGGGTGCCCAAGACGTGGCTGCCTAGGTAGGCCATGATCTAGACTTACTCCATGAGCCTCTGTTTCGCTACTGCCTCACTTGACGGATGCTACAAAAGAGACCATAAACTGGCAACTTCAATTTTGTCTCGTTCTCGATTTTTTTTAAAAAATTTTCAAATTTACCCCCCCCCCCCCTGATTTGCACTGTTTTTCTTCATTTGTCAGTTTATTCGTAAGTATGGATGGTTTTCTCTTCTTCTTCTCTGGGAATTGCATTTTCTCTGCTGTGGCAGTTACAGTGAAGACTTTGCAACAGTAAGTAATCCTTTTTGCAGTATTCTCCTGTTAATTCTTTCAAAGAAGTCATGTAGAAAGATTTTTGTTATTTCACTTCTTTGTGTGAATTGCTGTGCCTTGTGACTAAAATGAGTAAAAAGATTTTGTTAGCTCAATGATATCAAATAAATGGAGATAAACAAGAAACTGAAGGAGAAAGGCATGGTTTAGGAAAATCGAAAACAAGAGCTGAATTTATTTCCAAGAGTTTATTCTACTGATAATTTTTTCCAGTCCAGTTTAATTTTGATGTAACTTTCAAATATTGCAAGTTAAGCCAAATTAGGATATTAAAAGGGATAAAATTGTGACTCTTCTTATTATGAGTAATTTTTTGTTATGTCTACCTTCTAGGTTACAACTCAATTAAATGAAGACAGACAATTCTTCCAATAAAACTCCAAATTTGAGTCTAAATTCAAGTAAAATTTAATTGTGGACTTTTTCAAGAATATGGTATGAACTCAATTATAGTATAATTTATAACTTCAATTTTGTGAAAGTGACATTTTGTCTTGGCATGCCACGAACTCCCTTGTTACCTTCAACCATTTGCATGATGGTGTGACTGCACTTTTATCAGCCAAGACTGTAAAAATGCATATTTTGTGTTTCCTATCTCACAATTTTAATATTAATTTGGGTTTCTGATTTAAACAAGGTGGACATTTCAGCCCAGAAAATCCTTTTGATAATCTCAAAGTGATCCATACTCATGATATTTGCCACTTGTTCATATCTTGTGGATGACTGCCAATAGATTTGGTGTCTTGGCATTTGTACAATACACATTCGTAAAAGAATGCCAAGTAAATGTTCAATTTCTTCAGAGCATGTTGATATTGAACCTTTGTTCACATTTGTACATGTGTAGAGTACAGGTTTGTTTCATTAAAGATTCCAGCAACCATTTGATCATCAAAGAATTTTCAAAAATAGTCCATGGGAGCAATCAAATTCTCATAACCATGAAGC